TATGTATGTATGTATGTATGTATGTATATATGTATGTATGTATGTATGTATGTATGTATGTATGTATGAATGTATGTATGTATGTATGTATGTATGTATGTATGTATGTATGTATGTATGTATGTATGTATGTATGTATGCATATATAAATGAGAAGACTTACCTCCTCGTCGGACGGTGGTTCTTCGTAGTCCGAAAGGGTGTCCTTGAAGACGAAAATGCATTCCGACGGTTCCAATTGGCGAGCGTTGCCAAATTGAGTTTGTCCGTCGGTTGCCTGACTCGGCCCGGTCGTTTCCACCATCTTCGGTAATTTATCAACCGGCGACGTACGTTGCTCCTTACGTCGCCACAAATTCAAACCTAATAAGTTTCTCTGCACAGACGTTCGCCAGCTGTATTGACGTTGAATTACTCGTTCAAACCTCTGAAAGAAGAAGAAAAAAAAAAAATAATACGTGACGTTTATGTTTATCCGTGATTGCTTACGTTGGCGCGCGTTTCACATTTAAAATTCCCGCCTATAATTTGAAGAGTTCATTTGCTATTACGGACCTGCATTAATTCGAATCATATCAAATATTTTTTTCTGTACTTAAACATACTTTATTTATATATATACATATATATATACATATATAAATATATAAACGTATATATATACATATGTTTATTTTATTATCTATATTTATGTAATAGCATCGAAAAATACACGTGATATTAGGGATATTTATTGTATATATGAAACTATTAAGTTTAAGGTTATGTTCAATAACGACCGGTTTGCTATTAATAGAATTTATTGAATAATCCATTATATTGTAACTCCAAATGAAAAATTATTTTATTCTACTTCATTTAAAATTGTACGAACGACAGAACGTTCTTCTCACACATTATTTCGACAACAATATGTAACATGTTTTCAATCTTTACGAAGACCATATACTATACAAAAGATGAATCAATGAACATTTACTTACCAAAATACGGTGAACAACTGAGTTGAAAATATTACGGAATTGTGTTTGATTGTTAATACTTCTCACTTTTAAAATATACAAATTTGTATACCACAGCAAATTTCGATTAACATTCCACTTGTAAAAAGATACCGACATTATAAAAACTTTAGTCCGCAATGAATAGCCCTGCCATCTTGCGGAAGAAATATGTTACACGACTATTTCCTTGAATCGTCGATACAGAGAATCAACGCACAAACAAAAGATAATGCGTATGCCATCTGCCGGCTCTGTGTAATATTAAATTTACAAAACAATTAGCGCATATATCTCATTAGATGCGTCCATCTTGCAGTGATTCGTGCTAAATACGATATCTGTTTGCCTTTGTTTCACGATAAAAGAATAAAGAATAATAAATATAATTAATACACGATAATTATTATATAAATATGCGAATTTAAAAAAATTATCTTCAAATTTAATTACATCTAATTCATTTACCTATACAAATATTATTGATAATGTAAAGTATTAATACTTTAGTGTTTAATCATAATTGAATTGAAGGGATTTAGAAAATTAATTAGAAATTAATTAAAATATGCAGCCATTCGCTCGGTAGTACTTGCGTTGCGTGATTTACCATTAGATTTCAATACATCGCAAATACTATCGACCCAGATCTCACCACGAGGAGGTTGCTGCATGTGGAGACCCACGAGCTAACGCTGACTCTACTCTAAAATCCGCGTTCCGCGATACCGATCCGCTATACCTTTCCGCTTCAATGCACTGGCTTCTTAACTAACAGGATATGCGTAGCTTAGCTACAACACACCTCTTACAGATAGCTCCACCATTTGCACCGTCCGCTTCAGACATAACGGATTATTAAGCACATTCGAATTCGTGCTATCCGAATTTCGAACAATCAAAGCGCACTCCTTAGAAATACTAATCGCGTCGCGACACTCACGTGTGTGTTATAATTACGTAGACTCTACTATTAAGCCGAAATTCGCGAAGTACCCCCATCGAAATTTTGAAGAAACCAAACGAAGTCCACGGTAGGACCTTTAATCGCGCCCGAACACCCACGCGAATGTTAGAAAAACGATGACTCTACTCTACAATTCGCGTTGTCGATTCGAACAATCAAACGTAATGTCATCGCGCCCGAGAACACCCACGCCTGTGCCCGCCGACACGCGCGCCAGTGTTCTTCCTATCCTTCCCGTATTCACGCGTAAAAATCGATGATGAATCCCGCGCCATGCGACGAATCATCCGGCCGCTGATGAACCTATCCCTCGGTGACCTATACTGTAAAAGAAAAAGATAAAGAGAAAATAAAAGAATAAAAAATATATAAAACAAAATAATATATATATACATATATAAAATACAAATAGAAAATAAATATATGAGACATAGAAAAAGAAACGAAAAGAGAAGCAGCATGCATCATCCCCTGGTTCCTACCTAAAGTTTATAAATCATAATTAAAAACATAATTAAAAGTATGAACACATAATTAAACATATAATTAAATATATAATTAGGAAGAAACAACATAAATAAATATTAAAAATACATAATTAAAAGGAAATAAAATATTAATAACATAATTGAGAACATAATTAAAAATGAAAAATATGAGATAGAAACGAGAGCCGGAGAAAGAAAAGAGAGCCCCAGTAAGAGAAGAATAGAGAGGCCCAAAAAGATAAGACAAGAGAAATAGTTCTATATGATGCTGAGACAGCAGCCCGCACAGAAGCCCTCGCCCACAGGCCCCTCCTGTGGGACCCACCCGAGATATATAAAGAATAATTCATGAGAGTAAATAAGAATAAATAGAAATGACATAAAAGAGAGATAGAATAATTTCCTTTTCGTTTCTACGAGAAATTATTGTACAATAGATTTCTGCTACATTTCTTCTTTCGAAGTATTATTAGCCATATAAGATGGAAATATGATAATATTTAGTTGGAATTAGATTGAAAAGGTATTGGAAATTTATACTGTATGCAGCCATTCGCTCGATAATACTTGCGTTATAAGATTTACAATTAGACTTTGCAAGTATTAACGACCCAGGTCTCACCACGTGGAGGTTGCTGCATGTGGAGACCCACGAGCTAACGGTGACTCTACTTTACTCTAAAATCCGCGTACCACGATACCGACCCTCATGCCTTCCGCTTCGAATATCTTGGGCATGGTACAAAGCTAACAGGAGATATATAGCCTCAGCTATAGGGATCCCACTTACAGAGAGCTTAACCGTTCGACACCCTCCGCCTCAGGCATAACGGATTATTAAGCACATCTGAATTCGTGCTTCCGAATTTCGAACAATCAAAGCGCATTAATCGCGTTCGCGACACTCACGTGTGTTATAATTACGTAGATTCTACTGTTCTATCCAAATTCGCGAAGTAATCTAATGCGATATGTCGAAGAAATAAAACGAAGTCCCCGGTAGGACTTTCAATCGCGCAAGCGAACTCTCACGTGAGTGTTAGAATAACGGTGACTCTAAGTTGAAATCCGAAGCGCACTCCGAATTTCAACACT